TTTTCTTTTCTTTTTTTCCTCTTGATTGTGACATCAAGTCAAGACAAGCAAAGACCAATAACAGGAAAAACAGCAAAATGAAGACCAAATGCAAGAAATCATCTCAGGTCAGATTGCAGCGCAGGTAAGATGCATAACGGGGCTTCTTCCATCCAAATCTTCTGTCCATCCACATCCAAGGCAAGTCGAGCAAGTTGATGAGCCACAGAGTTCTCGTTTCTGCCTACATGTGAGCATTCAACTAAAGAAAAATATGACAACCTACTTCGAATGCTTGACACTAGAGCACCAATGTCTGAGAGGTCATCTACCGTGGATAGCACATTGTTGATGACCTGAAGGGAGTCCCCCTCTATATGAATATGCCTGAGCCCAAGATCAGCAACAAAAGTGACTGCTTTCCACGCCCCCAAGACCTCCACATGAGCAGCGAGCGTCGAGGGGGACAACTTTTATTGCAATGAGGTTGAAGATTTGTTCATGGAATGTGTGTGGGTTGAATGATAGGGTGCGTTGGATGGCGGTGAAGTCTGTGTTATAGGTTACCGGGGTAGAGGTCTTTTGTTTGCTAGAAACCAAAATGGCAGAGTTAGGTGGTGAGGTTGTGAGGTGGCAGGTTTGTGGAGTGGATATATCTTTCGGCTAGGGGTTCAGCCGGAGACACTTGTGTTGGGATTTGAAGTAGTGGAATAAAGTTGTTTTTAGTCGTATAAAAGAACAGAAGGCAGTAGTGATGGCAGTGATTTAAGGGATAGATGATAAGGAAAGTGTTGGTAGTCTGTCAGCAGAGGAGGTTTTGCAAAAGGAGAAGGCGAAGGAAGAGTTTGGTTCAATTGCTTAGATGGAAGAAGTCAGCTATAGGCAGCACCAAGGTTCTGAAAAGCGGTTGCGGTTTCCATAACGGTGGCGGTGGCGCGGTTGCGGTTGCAGGGTGTAAAGGCCATAGCGTAACGGTTGCGGTAACCGGAACCGTGAATTTTTTTATTTTTCGCACAATTTGAAAAAAACTTACCGATACGCATATTTTTTTTCCATGATCATATTTATTAGGTTTAAAATAATTATTGATCAATTTTTGTAAATTTTCAAGTATGGTCTAATATATTTTATATTTTTAAATCACTATAAATTGAGTTTTTTACATTTTATTTTAATAATTAATGACTTTATATTATACAAAAAATCAATCACTAACTATTATATATAAGATAAATAATGACAAAAGTAAGAGAATAAATAAAAGCCTAAATATATATATACACACATATTTTAACCAAGTCAAATAGATAATGATCACACTTATTATTATTATTATTATTATTATTATTATTATTATTATTATTATTATTTTTGAGTAATAGCAGCTGAATAGACTAGCATAGGTCTTACAGCTTCAACAAATCAATAACATATTCTTCATCTTTTCTCTTCTCTCTCTCTATCTTTTGCTCATCCATCTTCTCTCTTTATCTTTCCTCTTCTCTCTGTCCCTCTTCTCTCTATCCCTCTTCTCCCATTTTAAGCTTTTTTTTTTTGGTGTTTTTTTTAAAGAAGCAGTTTGGAACCGTTACGTAACGGTGCGTAACATGCCGTTAAGACCACTACGACAGTCGCTACGGCCGACACACTTGTGAATCTCAATCGCACTGCAAAAGCGGCCGTAACGGGTGGCGGTAACTACCACAACCATTACATAACGCCATTATGTAACGGTTGCGGCCGCTTTTTAAAACCTTGGGCAGCACCCAAGGTGTTTCTGGTTGAAGGAGGGGGATCGTAATACAAAGTTTTTTCTTCGCATGGATAATGCACACAGAAGGGTTAATCAGATTGGAAAAATACGGATGGATAGGGTGGAGATGAATACTGAGGAAGAGATTAGTGCAATGCAGGGATAGTAGACTTTTGTAGGCGACTCTTTCAGGGTGGCAAGGGAGAGTGGTGGCCAGGCCTGAAGGGAGTGATTTTTGGTAAGATGTCGGAAGAAGACACAAAATGATTAGAGCATCCTTTTCTAGACGAGGTCTTAGGGTCGTTGTGTGAGCTGACTTTGATAAAGAGTACTTTAGGGAGTATTCCTACCTATTTCATGTCAGTGCATGTTATTCCAGTATCGATTGTCCATCGTTTGGAAAAGTTACAAGGAGATTTCCTTTGGGGTGGGCTAGTGGATGAATTTAAATTTCATTTGGTGGACTGTATGTAGTCTAAACGAGGGAGTTGGTTTGGGGTTAAGAAAGTTTGTGGTCTTTAATAGGGCATTATTAGGGAAATGGTTATGGAGGTTGTAGGATGTTTTCAGAGGGTACCCAATCGTGCCCAACAGTTCAGACTCTCAAGCCCCTAATTTAGTCTCACAAGTGCAATGTGAAACATAAATGAGAGTCTAGATCCAACAACTTTTATAAAAAATCTATTTTATTGCAAAACCTTTGCAAGAAATGGACTACATCATTAGATCTTAGAGTCGCCACCTAATCTTTTGAAAAAATTAGGAAACCCGTGACTCGTGCCAAAGGCTACTGTCCGTCATAACCAAATTATCTCGGTTCGGGAACTTAGGTATGAAGAGGGAACGCCATGGATTGAGCACCCTTAATCACCCGATCAAAAGATTGGCCTCTACTAAGTCATTATATGAGTTTTATAGCCACCATATGCTCATGTTCCGGTTATTTTAATAATGCTAACATTACTATGTGAAGCAAGCAAGTATAGATTATGTTACTCATTTTGGTTATGCTATGATTTCATGCATTTTGAAAGACTTTGAATAAATGTACAACTTGAAGAAAATTGAGCCTACATGCATAGTAATCAACATCATTCCAACCCAAGCAACACAATCTTCATCCATTGGCATTAAAGGAGATGTTCCAGATAAGCAAGTAGCCACATGGTATAATGCTGGACATAGTAAAATAACATACACAATCGGGATGCTAAAACTAGAAATTCTTACCTAATATTCATCCATGGTAAGCTAAAAATATTATGTTATAAACATATGCATGATTCTATATGCAAATAGCTAATGTAATACATACACAAAATGCAATTAAAGATGTAGCTATTAATACGTGACATGTGAATCATCTCAAGGCATGAGGTAACACATAGAACCACGTTTCAAATGATAAACCCCACAAATGAAGATGAGCTGAATCCAGATGCATGGAAAGTGAATGCAAGCCATGGATATGATAAATAAAACATGATGTTTAACAACAGATATGGCAAGCGTAGAAATAAAAGGGACAATCTCGGAAAAGCAAACAGAAAATAAAAAATTGAAAGAGCAACAAATAAAATAAAATAAAAAATCATCTGAAAAGCAAACGAGAAGAGATGAAAATATATATGTAGTTGCATTTATCTATATATTTTTTGTCGAAACCAGTCATCCTGTTTCTGTACAAAAAACATCCTCTTACTAGCTTCCAAATTAAAATTTCTGTAGAGCAGTGCTAAATACAGTGCTAAATGAGGTCCTCAGGGTTTAGAGCTAATTATATTCAATTTATTTTGTTATAAAAAGGTTAGTGGAGGCATGAGTTTTTAGGGTTTCCAAGTGTGTATAAAGGAGATAATGGTTTTGCTGGCCTAACTAAGCAAAGGACAAGACTTTGGGCGGCTGTGACCAGTGATTCTAGTTATATAGCTTTTGGGCGCCATGTTTGAATGGTTTGAGGAGAAAAGGGATGGGTCTTCTCAAATAAGATTTCTAAAACTATTTTTGTTTTGGGTTTTAAAGGTATAAGAATGAAGAGCGAGATTCTCAGAATCAATCTGAGGTTTCTTAGGCATCACCCCTATGGTTAAAGTTGCGTCACACAATCCTCAAAGAACATGGTTGTTAGAAAATCACTCAAACTTATTTCCCTATTGGATTGAGAGTATCATGTAGTTGTGCATGTCTTGTCCATCATAGTTCTAACTTCTAACGTGTCTTGGACTCACATTGTCAAACTAAGAGGCATAGAATGGTAAAACCCATATAGACCTACTAAAATGTGACACCTAGGTTTTGGCAATGTATAATATTGTCTACTTTGGACTAGGCACATAGGACTTTAAAATGCTTTGTACAATGATGGTTTAAGGCTCACATTTATAAGGCACATCACACACACTTCACCAAGCGATATGGGACGGAGTACATGAACTTAGTACCTTTACCGCAACTTAATTGGTCCCAAGCTGCAGGAACCAAGAAGCAAAGTCACTTCTAAGGAGATGGCATGTCTGTGTCGAACACCTACATTTATTGGACACTTTGTGACACATGTTGGAGTCACAACCAAACGTTTCATATTTTTTTTTTAGACCCGGACATGACACTTGTGGGGGCACATGTATTATACACACAAAATACATTGTTAAGCTTGAACAAAATGGTGTAGATGATGCAATGATAAAAGAAAAAACAATGTAAATTTATATTTATTAATCCCTCTTTTAAACTTCTGGAATTAGTATTCTGTTACATTTTTTTTTATTAACTTTGAATGAAATATTTATGTATACTACATATAATAAATATATAGGACTATATATTGTGTCCCCCATGTATTGTATCTTGTTTTCATTATTCATGAAAAAAGGTCTTCTTTGCTTATAGATGAAGGCAATCCTTCCCTCTTGATCATTTTTCTTCTACTCATGTTATTTCCCTTTCTTTATTTGATTTTTATGAAGCTTCCTTATTCATTCGGAAAATAAAAAGTGGTATGGCCTCACCATAAATTGCATCTAATCTTAAATGAGTGATTCTATTTCCCAAATAGTTCCATTTTATTTATTTATTTGTTTATTGTTTTATTTTTTGTATCAATAGTATCAGGTTCCTCTACATGTATTATCTTTCATAGAGCATGTTTAGATTTTTTTTACCAAGTTTGTATTGATTTAAGGCATTATCTTCACTTCTTTTTGTACGTTGTACAAATTTCATAGTATCTTCTTGTGCGCTTTGAGTTAATTTGCTTGCCCTTTTTTAGGTCTTGTGAATCGTGTTTTGTGGATGCAAGAATTGTATCCCTCAGTTGGGGAAGAATTGTTACTGTTCAAAACATCAATAAGCTTTATTGATCATTTACAAGAATGCTTGGGAGCTCTTCTTGCTACTTGTACATTGGTCATACCTCCTTTCAATGAGTTCAAAGAAAATCCTTTTTATGTATACGATTTTTTACAGGTACATTAGAAATATAGAACTGCAATTATATTGGACAGTTGCTGAAGTTATTTACTGCTTATTGGCCAAAGCAATCACAAAACCCCTATGCCTGCTATCCCAATGGCATAACTCAATTTTTGTTCCAATAATGGGAGTTGTTGAGTAGGGTTGAGAAAGCATAGACATAACATCGGGTTTTATTTGCATGAATTGTGGACCTATGGACTTGAGCCTAGCATTGCGTGGTCATGATACTTTGTGGTTATAAAATTATGAAATATCTACTTCTATATATATATTTATCTTTTATAGTTGTGAAATTTAATTTCCTAAGAAAAGAGAGAAAAAATGTATTAGGGGGATATGAAATTATTGGCAAAGTTTCCCAAACTTGGGATTTGCAAATTCTTCATTTAGTTAAACACATTTCCCTTTTTCAACGGACTAAGAAATTTCAAACATCTTTGGGTTTTATGAATGAGAGGATATTTATATGGTGAATTGTGACATTCTAAATGCTAGACTTTTTACTCTTGATGGGTGCATATATTTGTCTTTGTGTTCGTCAATCCTTTGCTTATTACTTATGGGTGGTTTGATAGTTTGTTATGTAGAGCTTATTAATTATATGCATCTCCTGCCTATTAATCTACTTGAGATTGTGCTGAGACGTTAATCTTTTTTATTTTTAATCCTTATGAGCAACATCTTCTTATTAAAACTACCCATAAATAAGAAAAAGACCTTATTTTTGTACTTTTTATTTGTTTCTACTCATTCAAGTTAGTTGTCAATTATCCCACATAGTTTGATATAGGCTTGTTCTACGGTATTAGATTTTGAAGCATATCCATTATGCACAACTTAGTGATTTCTATATAGAGCATAAAAGGTGATTTCAATTCCAAGGTTTTTTATTTTTTAAATATACTTTACTTTTTATTGTTTTGAAAAAATCCCCGTCAATAAAACAAATTAAAATTAAAGGCTTTTGGTTCAAAATGTTATACATGATTGGCCCATGTTTTTTAGATTTATGGATTGATTTGTTAGAGCATGAATATTTGTCATAATCTTAATTTACTGGAGGTGGGTGATGGAATGTAAGTTTGGGTTTGAAGTTACGGTGTGGATATTGAAAGAGGTCAAAAGTTCTCACGGGGTGGGCTTTTTTGGAAACCCATTAGGGGAAGATGGTCAGATTTTGTTGGGCATGTGTACTTTACTAGACGTGATGGTTGTAAGGTAAGAGTTTGGATTGCGGTCTGATGTGGGGATGCTCCTTTGTCTAGGCCTTTAGCAGAGCTATATCGTATTGCAACTAACAAAGATGATTTGGGAACCATGCTTTGTATGGGAACAATGTTTTGTTTGATCTTTTTAGAATTGGTAGTTAGATATGGTTTAGGTTTTCTTAGAGCAACTATACAATGTAATGGTCAATGGGTGTAGAGTAGACGAATAGAAATGGAAGGATGCAAGGAAAATTCATATTTAGAGGATTCTATTCTCTCATATATCGTGAAGGGATGTCTCATTTTCATGAAAGTTTATTTGGAAACTAGAGGTTTCTACCAAAGTAGCATTTTTTGTTTGTACAGGGAGTGTGAAGGTGGGTTTTCCCTAATCAGTGTTATGTGTGCAAATAAGAGAAGGATTTAGTTGATATCTTTTGAGTCATTGTGATTTTGTTAGAGATTTATAGAGTTTTTTGTTTTTGTCTTTTCAGAATGAGTTAGGTTATGCCAACTTCAGTGTTACAATTATATGATTGTTAGGCCCATGGTGCCAAGTGAAAAGAGTTGAGGCATGGATGGTGGCTCCTATGTTCTTAATGTGGTGTGTTTAGAGAGAAAGAAATTGATGTACTTTTGAAGATGCAGAGATGACCACGCATAAATTTAAGCTAACCTTACTTTAGTCTATTCATTAATGGATGTACGAGAAGGTTGTGACACTTCTTTTTTTGTTGGTGGATTTTATAGTAGAGTTAAATTTTGAGGGTTTATAGTTTCTTTTTGGTTGTTTTTTTAATTAATTCTAGATAGATTATAAGAAGCACGAACACTTCTAGAAAAGTGGCGTGTCTGTGTCGGACACCGACATTCGTCAAACACTTCTTGACATGTGTCCAACACTCATCAATATGTGTCTTACTTAAAAAAAGAAAAGAAAAATGTAGATTCGGATACTCTTTGGACACTTGGAGGATACACATGGCCATTGCTTAAACACACGTGTCCATTGATTAGACACACGAAATTAATTATAAGTTTGAACAAAATAATTTTAGAATATGAAGATAAAGAAAAACAATATCAATTTGTGGGTATTTGTATTGTGCTTGGCATGTGGCGAGCCCTACGGGTGTCACATCATCACCATCACACATCCACGAGGTAGACCTCTAAGGAACCAAGATGAGTTGTGGTTGTATGCCTAGCCTAAGCAGGGACATGTACACCACCAAGTATGAAGCATCACCACGGCTCATCTAGAGCTCACCATAATCCTTTATGCTTCATAACAAAATGTGTTCTTTGCCCACTCACTCCAGCTCAATGGCAACATAGTTGGACCCTTGGCTCACCTATGTTCACTTGGCTGCTTAGGATGAGCCCCCGGCTCACCCATGTAATCACCCACTTGGCTACCTAGGTTGAAAACAAGACCTAGGCACTCCCGCTTGTGATCATTGGAGGATTGTGGATTGGAGGCTAAGACCTTAGGATCATCAAGGTCGTGTAACTGTCTCTCCGCAATGACAGTTCCACCTTGACTAGGGTAAGCAAGGAGATGTTGACCTTACATTCACATCTGTTGCATATATGATACACCTCTCAAGATATCATACCTACACCTACACCTATAGCTCCTATGATGCAACCTTCCCTAGGACCTAAATCATAAGACACAGCTAGTAGGGCTAATATCACTTTCCTATTGAGTTGAGGAGAACTTGCCACTTGTCCGTAGGTTGCCTGGGCTCCAATATTCCTAGAGTCTATATAATGGTATCATAAATGCAGCCACAAAACACAACAAGAAGAACAACAACGTATACATCACAACGTGTTCAATGCCTCCCACTGCTGCCTCTTTCATCTCTAAGCTTGCCTTGGTCTTCTCCTCTTCAACTTCCGGTGATTTCAGGCTATTGAAGTGCCCGCCATCTTCCCAGAGGTCAACGACCGATCACCTCTACCCACACTTACACACACAATTTATAGAAATTAGTATTATATTACATTTATTTATTGTCTTAGAATGATATATTCATATATATGACATAATAAATATATAAAATTATATGTTTTGTCTGTGTCCTCCACGTGTTGTGTCTTGTATTTTTTGAAAATTACCATGTCTGTGTGTCCATGTTGTATGCATGTCATGTCACGTGTCCGTGTTCGTGCTTGTGCTTCTTAGGGTAGATTACACTGACCTCCCTGATTAATGGATTTATTATAGCGCACCCCTGTGGTTTGATGAAATTACACTGACCTTCTCTGTGTCAGTTTGTTTAGTAACAAACCTAACAAAATAGTTGAATTTATATAATTGTCCTCACTCTTAAAACAATTATTTTATAACAGAAAAATTGAATTTAGTTTATCACCCTCACTCTCTCTTCTTTGCTTCTCTGTATCTATCTCATTCAGATTATCCCTTATCTGCTCCCGTTACCCTTCTCTCTCCTCTTCTACTTTCCTATCCTTCACAATATCTTTGTTACATCCCATGCGTAGGATATTTGATTGATTATCCTATGCATAGCTAGGTCTGAGAACCCAAAGGGAAAAGATCACCACTGACCAGCTTTACCACTGTTGCTTCCACCACCACAACATCACCACTGCCACAGCCAGCTCTTTCTCTCTCCTCTCTCCTCTCTTGTCTTCTTCTCTCTTTCCCCTCGCCACTGCTAGGTCTCTCTCTCTCTCTCTCTCCCCACCCCCACAGCTACAGCTGCCTCCCACTCTCCCTGCGCCCTCTCATCTCTCTCACTGCACCCCCATAGCCACTGCTACCTCCCTCCCTGGCTTTTCCATCACCCTACCTCTACTGACACTAATTCTATTAACTAAAACCAGCATACTTTACAAACCCCAGCCCCTTTGATTGGCGAATCTCACAATCGTGGGTGTGTACGAGAGAGATATCTGGTTGGGTGGTGGTGTGCATATCTTGTCAGGAAAAAAAAAAAAAAAAAACAGTATTCTGTTTTCCCTAAGAATTTATGCAGTTTTTATTGGGCTTAGTAAATAAACTAAATTTTTCTGCCAACTAAAACTTAACCAGTAAACCTTTGAACCACATGAAGGTGAAAAGTGAAATTTAAAGGGCACAGAAATCCCGTGAGCTCCAAAGGATCAAAAGTCCTTGGTTATAATTTAATGTAGCAAAACATTTTCGTGATGATGTCTCTCTCACATTTTTTTCATGTATTTGTTGTTTCATCTTACTAAAATGTTTATCATATGTCATTTAGTCTTTAGTCTTATATTATAAATACATGTGTAAGAGGGGAGAACCCTAATTGATTCTATTGTTAATACAACATCAGCCGTTCTCTCCTTTTTCTCTCTCATTCTTCTTCTTCTTCTTCTTCTTCTTCTTTTCATATGTAAACCTAACAATCATGTATGCCGAGTTATAAGTATTTAATTGAAATATTTTCCATGAGAAGTTCTGCAGGAGCACTGAAAATTTTGGATGTTTTGGAAATATAGTTGAGCAGGTACATGATTTTATTTGAACACAAGATAAGTTTTGCTTGATTAATGATATTTGCATCAAAAGAAGGAAATGCTTCTAGTTTGTGATTTCTTGCTATAAGTTCGTTTGTACTTTGATCATCTATTTATCATCCTCTTGGGAACAAGAAAGGAATCTCTTTAATTAATTATTCACCTATTTTTCTTTTTATTTTTTCAACATGATCAAAAACTTGCTATCTAGTTCAAATCACTCGCAAGCCAGACATTTTCCTTTATTTTGTGGAAATAAATGTTTGTTAATGTTTTCTATTTGTTTTTGCAGGCTTACTCTATCAATAGACTTATTGCTGTCCCATCACTGATGAGAGTGATTCTTCCTGCCTTGCAAAGTCCGTATAATATGAGAGTTCAGAGTTCCTTAAAAATGTTAGTGCTGAGTGGCGAAGTTTTTCCTATGTCCTTATGGGAAATGCTTTACAAGTTATTACCGAAGACTACTATCTTGAACTTATATGGGTCTACGGAGGTTAGAAAATTGCATTCTTACTTTTGACTTTGCAAATAGTTATGGCAAGATATGGCATTTTTTAACACAAAATCTATGTTACCCTTTTCAACACATTCCCCAAGTCCGAGTTAAATCTCAATCCCACTCAATTCCTTCGACGGCCTCTTAATCTCAATCGAAGAAATCCCCAATTGACCCAACCCCTGAATGGAATTTCCATCATCAGGAGTGTTTGCATGATTGCATTTCATGTTTCTCTATTCCTTCTGCTATACACCTTCACTGCATGATTCCCTGATAAATCCTTGCATCCTTCTTTCCCTCTACATTCTCAGCCCCACTGTGAAACCCTAAATCAATAGGATCCAAGGGATCCTCCCTTATTGTTGTGCTAGATTGAAAGAGCTTTCAAGACTGAGCACAGTGCTTCCCTCAGAGATCCTGCGACTTCATGCCCTAGTCAATGGTCCCATATCTCGCATTGATTCTCGCTAGAACTACAGCAAATGCGGCTCTCAAATCTAAATTCATTGACAGGACTTTCAATTGGTTCCGCTGATAAGGCCTTCTACAAGCTTAAAACTTCCTTGATGGCCCAAACCTACATGGGCCCTTGGTTTAAGAAATGAAGGTCCTACAGAAATTGGCTTTGTTTTGTGCTTTGGGCCTCCCTCATTGTGACCTCTTCTAATGCTTAAAGGCCTCATAGTTATATTTGAACTGAATCTGGTTTGAATTTGAAATGGCATTAGTACTGAAATTACCGTCCTTAATTACTACTTGCTGATGGGACTCTTTGTTATTATCACTTATAATGACATCCCCATCTCTAAATTCTAGGACACAGATTAATATCCTTACCTCTACTATCCCTATAGCACGTAGAGAATCATTCATCTTTCTCCACTCCTTGCTACGTTGGGTATTTCTAGGTCTTCCTTTGGCTTTTGCCTCCAGATGGGTGTATGCATGATTTGTGCAACCTGCTTTGCTGAAAATACTCCGGCGAATTTTCCTAGCTCTCACTGGATTCAATGCTGCTTCAAGGAAACAAATAATTGACAGCCTTCAATGGAGATATAAAACCTTTGCTAGTATAAAACCTGAATCAAAACCATTAACTGTAACAGTTGCTTCAAACAAATTAGGAAAATTTCTTGTTCTTTGGTCCACATCCAACAGACAACCACAAGCATCGCCAATTACTTTGAAGAATTCTGTTTTCCAAACATAAGAAGGTAGATTGCCAACAGCAATCCACCCCCCATAGGAAGCAATCACTTCATGACAGACACGTCTTGAAATTCCATTTGTTCATCATCACCTTAAAAGGGTCCCTCTAAAAAACATCTTCCATTATTCCCAAACTGAGTAGTCCATTCTCTACTCTTACAGAAGATAAAAGAACCTTGTTGACCTGGAAAGGAATACACCGAAAGCTCTGCTTCTATAATTTTTCTAAGGACTTTTGAATCATAATCCATGAGTCGTGCAAATTTTCTCTTCTACAGACTACTGAACAACTCCAATCCAATAAACCATATGAACTTCTAGTCTCCCTTGATCTTGGCTTGTAACAATTGACGTTATGATTTCCTCTTTTTGCCCTGGTTTCTTGTACCTTAGAACCTCCTGCAACAAATGCCTGCAGCACATATCTCTCAAGCTCCTTACTGTCTGCTTCATTGGTGAAGAAGACCATACGTGGAGGAAAGGAAGAAAAGGAGACAGAGAAGACATCATATTGAATACCAAGACCAGTTGCGAAGAAGAAGAAATGACAAAGAAAGAGAATGTTAAAAAACGAAGACATTGATTCAGAAAGGAATGAGAGTAAAAATTGAATCCAAAACACCATTGCAATCAGAAGTCCTTGGCACCTTGTGATCAAAGAACTACTATCAAACACGCAAGAATTTAACATTTGAATATGACTTCCCCTGGTATGGTTGGTCTGATGATTCTTTGAAGATGTATAGATAAATGGAAATCAGAATGCTAAATACCTAACTTCCTTATGCCCAAATATTGTCTCATATAGGCATACAGACTAAGTCCTAATCCACTAAATGGTACTTGTATTCCTTCCCAATGTATCCTGATAAAAAAATTCCGTTTGCAACTTTTCCAACATCTCAACAACTATGGAAGGAATATCAAACAATGACAGTATGTGGGCAAAGTCGATAAAGTACTATTAGACAGTGAGTCAAGCTACCTCCTTTCAATAGGCATTATGTTTTTTTTTTACTCCACCAATATCTTTGAAATCTCTGCACTATTGAATCCCAAATTGATCGAGCTTTAGAGGAGGACCCAAAGGCAAGCCCAATTAGGAAGATGGAAGGGACCCAACAGTACAACCAAGAATAGATGCAAGTGAATCAATGTCATGCACCTCGCCTACTGGAATGAGCTCTAATTTCTCCAAGTTTAACTTTAATCCCTGAAACCCACCTTGAAAAACAAAAGCACACGCCAAAGATGTTGCAGCTGTGTTACATTCACCTGAAACAAGTGATAGTATGTTCCACATACAAAAGATGAGAAACTGCTTGCATAGAACCATCCATCTTCTCCACCCTAAACCCCTATATAAACCTCCGCCAACTGCCCTATCAATCATGTGACTCAATGCCTCCATAATTGAAATGAACAGAAGATACATAGGGTCTCCTTGTCTCAAGCCTTTGGATGTCTGAAAAAAACCTCTTGGGGTGCCATTCACCAAAATCGATGTACTGAAATAGAAATGCAAAGGTGGATCCACTTCCACCATTTAGCTCCGAATCCCATTCTCTGCATGTAAAATAGAAAAGCCTATCTGATATCTTCATATGTCTTCTCTGTGTGTAGCTTGCATACTGCTCTTGGTTATTAACTGTGCACATACAGGACTGCTGTTGGTCTAGCATTAAATGCCGATGGAATCTAATTGAGTTCATCTCTTTTGCCAATAATGTTGTTGGATCTACTTTTAATTATGGACCTTATTATTATTTTAATATGATCTCTCCTCTTTTGTATGACAACTTAACAATTGTGCATTTACAGCACTATTGGATCAGCATTACAGCACATTGAATGTGTGAATCTATTTTTTGTCTTCTGATTTCATTTTAGCACCTCTTTTTACACACGATCACTTCTTTTTGACGTTATCATAGTCTTGGGAAGAATGCCGAAATGTGGACCTTCATGCATCTCGTTGTGTTATCTGTTCATAATTACTGATACAGTCTTATTTTCAATGGCTAATACATCAATATTTTTTTTAATTTTTCTTAAGGTGTCTGGTGATTGTTCATATTTCGATTGCAAGAAGTTGCTATCGATTTTGGATAGTGAAGCACTGAGCAGTGTTCCCATTGGCATGCCTATTTCAAACTGTGATTTAGTTCTTGTAGATGAAGATTCATCTATTCAAGGAGAAATTCAAGGAGAAATATATGTTGGCGGACTCTGCATGGCTGCTGGATACTATTGTGATTTTTCTGTAATACGGCATGACTTTGTTAAGTGTCCTCAACACTCTTCTTCTGTCTGTTTAGTCAGTGAGAGTGAATGTCAATACTATTTTAAAACTGGTGATTTTGCTAGACGACTTCAAAGTGGTGACCTAATTTTTCTCGGCAGAAAAGATCGCACAGTGAAGGTTAATGGGCAACGCATTGCATTAGAGGAAATTGAAAGTACATTAAGGGGATATCCAGGAGTAGTTGATGTTGCTGTGATTTATTGTAGAGGTCAAGGAGAAGTAGCATTTCTTGATGCATATTTATTAATGAGACCAGCGGATGTATGTGGTGAAATTTTGAGATCTTCTATTAGGAGTTGGATGCTTGAAAAACTTCCATTAGCAATGATCCCTAACCGTTTCTTCTTTACCGAATCATTTCCCAAGTCTTCAACTGGAAAAGTGGATTATGTGCTGTTGGCCAGTTTGACGTTTTCCATGAAACGTGACCAAAATGAGATTGGTAAAATTCAGAGTACTGGACTGTTGGAAGTTGTCAAGAAGGTTTGTTCTTCGGCCTCTCAGCATTGTAGACAGTTTTTCTCACTTTGTTTTGACTTTGTCATGCTGCACTTGTCCTTCCTCAATTTCGTTATCTGGTAAGTGATAATTTTAGAGAATATCAAGATTAGGGAATGATTATGATATCATCCCCATTTTATATTAATAAAGATTAATAATTACAACAGAGCCCTAAGGTATAGAATAATTATAATTGAATAATAACCCAACTAATAATATATTATTCTAACACTCCCCCTCAAGGTGGTGCAAAGATATCTTTCATGCCCAGCTTGCCTAGGATGTCATGCAGTGGCTTACTCCCAACTCCCTTGGTGAGGATGTTAGCGTGTTGTTCACCAGACTGTACAAATGGAGTACATATTGTGCCACTAGTGAGTTTCTCCTTAATGAAGTGGCGATCAATCTCAATATGTTTGTCCTGCCATTTTGAACTGGATTGTGAGCAATGTTGATGGTGGTCTTATTATCACAGTATAACCGCATGAAGTTCGTCTGATCAATACCTAGATCACTCAACAATAACTTGATCCATAAGAGCTCACACACCCCTTGTGCCATAGCTCTAAACTCAGCTTCTGCACTTGACTTGGCAATCACATTTTGTTTCTTACTCCTCCAAGTAACTAGGTTGCGTCCAACAAAGGTGCAATATCCTGAAGTCGATCTCCTATCAGTTATTGATCCAGCCCAGTCAGCATCTGTATAGGCTTTCACACGAAGACGATCATGCTTTGAAAAATAAGGACCCTTACCAGGAGCAGACTTCAAGTACCTCAAAATTCTTATGACAGCCTCGAAGTGAATCTGATGAGGAGCATGCATAAACTAGCTAACTACACTGATAACAACAGTAATATCAGGACAGAAGTGGGATAGGTAGGTAACCTTACCCACGAAACGCTGATAGTTCCCCCTATCAACAGCTACTCCTTCATCATTCCCTAGTTTCTGATTGGGTTCCAGTGGAGTGTCACATGCCTTGCAGCCAAGCATCCCAGTTTCCTTCAATAGGTCAAGCACATACTTCCTCTGTGAGATAAATATCCCATTCTTGGAGCGAGCAACTTCAATTTTTAGAAAATACTTCAAGCTCCCCAAGTTTTTGATTTCAAACTCATTTGCTAAATATTTCTTCAACAGAGGTATTTCCTCACTATCATCACCTGTAAGAGCTATGTCATCCACATAAACAATGAGCACTGTAGTCTTATCACGTGAGGAATCTTTCACTAACTAGGTGTGATCTGTTTGAAGCCATATTTAAGCATAGCCTGAGTGAATCTCTCAAACAAAGCCCTTGGAGACTGTTTGAGACCATATAATGACTTCCGAAGCTGACATACTTTACCCTCTGTCTGATGATCTTTAAAACTAAGAGGAATGTCCATATATACCTCTTCTTCGAGGTCACCATGGAGAAAGGCATTCTTTACATCAAACTGATGAAGTAGCCAATCTAGATTAGCTGCTAAAGAGAGAAGTACTCTAACTGAATTCATCTTAGCCACGGGTGCAAAGGTCTCCTGATAGTCAACGCCATATGTCTGAGTGAACACTTTTGCCACAAGTCTAGCCTTGTAATGCTCAATAGAACCATTCACTTTTTGTTTCATAGTATACACCCATTTGCATCCCACAGGTCGTTTGCCCTTAGGTAACTCAGTCAATTCCCAAGTGCCATTCTTCCTAAGTGCTTTCATTTCCTCAATCATGGTAAGTTTCCACTCAGAGGTAGCAAAAGCATCCTGAAAATGGTTAGGAATGTTAACAGAGGAAATATTTGACACAAAAGCTCTATATGAGGACGACAAATGAGAGTAGGACACAAAATTTGAGATAGGATGTTGAGTACAAGATCTCACACCCTTTTTCTTGGCAATAGGAACATCAAAATCAATAGGAGTATCAAAATCAGTGGACTCAAGAGATTCAAAGTTACCTAAACTCTCATCAGAAGTAGGAGATGACAGTGAGTGAGTAGAAGTGGTCCCTTGTATTTAGTTAACTTTCTGTCTGTCTTTGTCTCTAACATAAACTTGCCTTTCCCTGTCCTTAGTGATATTGGGTTTTGTAGTCCTAGTAAGAGGTGATGGTGCAAGAACAACTTGTTCCACCATAGGAATCACAAGAAACACTTCACACCAAGGCTCTCCCTGAAGGAGGACTATGACACCGGAGATGACAAGAAATAGGACTGGGACTGAAAAAAGGTGACATCCATAGACACAAACCACTTACGAGAAGGAGGGTGATAGCACTTATACTCTTTTTGAGTAGGAGAGTACCCAAGGAAAATACATTTGAGGGAGCGAGGGTCTAACTTACCACGAGTAGGAGAGTGATTGTGGACGAAACAGACACGACTAAATATTTTGAGGGGAATAGAAAACAAGGACTCGAAACCTAGGAAGACTTGAAGGGGAGTTTGTTTTTGCAAGACCTGGGTAGGAAGACGATTAATAAGATAGGCAACGTGAGAATAGCGTCGCCCTAGTAGGACCGATGCACACTCAGAGAAAAACACACACACCGAGCCATGTCAAGAAGATGACGATTCTTGCATTCTGTCACCCCATTTTGTTGAGGGGTATTAGTGCAAGAGGTCTGATGGATAATGCCATAGGTAGAAAAATATTGCCCTAACCCAGAATCTATGTATTACCTCCCTCTCCCAATTATCAGAACGGAAGATTTTGACGGTGGCCCCAAATTGAGTACAAATCATCTTATGAAAATTGCGAAACACAGAGAAAACCTCACTCTTGTCTTTCATGAGATACACCCAAGTAATAAGAGAAAAATTATCAATAAATGTAACAAACCATCAATGTCCTTTCACAGACATAACACGAGATGGACCCTAAACATCAGAATATATTAATGAAAAAGGAACTAAACTTTTATTAAAATAGGGAGCAAAACAAGCTCTTTGTTGTTGTCCAAATTGACAAGACTCACAAAGAAATTCAGACACATTATTGTTTGTAAAAATAGATAGAAATAAATGCTTAAGTAAATAAAAAGAAGGATGCCCAAGACGCCGATGCCACAGCCATAAATCATCTTTGGTAATAGGACTGTGGTGGAAGAATGTGCAAGCTTGTCCGGTTGATCCAGGAAGTAGAGACCATTTTCAGCACTACCACTGCCAATCGTCCTCCTCGTAACAAAGTCATGAAAAAGACAGTGATCAGGAAAAAAAAGTCACACTACAATTCAAGTCCTTTGTAATACAACTCAATGATAACATGCTAACAGAAAAATTGGAAACATGGAGAACAGAAGATAGAGGTATGGTAGGAGTGACATGGACTAAACCTTTCTAAAATATAGAAGAAACAGTACCATCTGCAATCCTAACTTTGTCTTGGCCTGGAGAGGGCTTATAGGCGGAGAAAATGTTAGGGGATCCAGACATATGATTTGAGGTACTAGAATCAATAATCTAGGGCAAAGACTTATGAGAGAGGAAAACACGAGGAGAATAGGCTAAGTTACCTGAGCGGGCAAACGATGAGGAAGATGTATTGAGAGCAGTAGAAGACCGGCGGTCTAACAAGTGACGCAGAACATCCTCAAGCTCATGAGTAGTCATGTTAGAGAGACCATCAGAAGCCTGGCCAATGGAAGTGGAAGTAGAATCAAGTGTATCAACTGCAGTAGATTGATGAGCCCGTGGATGAGAGCCACGTCCTCTAGACTAACCTGACCGACCTCCTCTAGAACCACACCGATCACCTCGACCCTCAGATGGAGTCCTATGAAGCTTCCAACACACCTCACGAGTATGCCGCAACTTGCGGCAGTAATCACAGAATACAGACTCCTTGGCAGTAGACAAAGGGATGGGAGTCAGGATGAGGCCATCTCTAGGGGTAGACAGTAATGCGGAGCGGTCAGTAGAGACGGGTGACATTATAGTAGACTGGCGACTCTCCTCATTCTGTATATAGGCGAATGCCTCATGAAGTGAAGGAAGAGTGTCCATACCCAGAACCCGACTTCGAACCGGATTATACTCCATACTGACACCTGCCAGAAACTTGAAGACAATTTCTTGTGCAATGAACTTCCTGTACCCGACTAAATCAGCAGTGCAAACAGGCTTATAGTCCTGCAGGTGATCAAGGTGTTTCCAGCTGTTAGTGAGGAAGGTGAAGTATTGAAGAATAGTCTGCTCCCCTTAAATAGAGCTCTTAATAGAGCAGCGCAACTCAAATGCATGTAAGAAATTTCTTTTGCGAGAATAAGTAGTAGCCACTGCCTCTCAAATATCCTGTGCAGTATCCATAGATAGATAGTCCTCTCCAATCTCTGGGACCATAGAATGTATCAACCAACCCATAATTAGGGAGTTGGTGATCTCCCATTGATCATAACTGGTCCGTGGTGCTGGGTGCCTTTATCCTATCATCAATATACCCCATCTTCCTTTTGCTCTTCAAAAAGATAGTCAAACTTTGCGACCATGCTAGATAGTTTTGACCATTGAATAGAGAGGTGGTGATTTTAAGATTAGGATTGGGGTTGTCAGTCATAGGTATAATGGAACACTCACTTTTAGGTGTCTGAGAAGTAGTGGACACACTGGTGGAATCTGCCATGGATACTATACTACCTAACCCTCAACAAAACTAGTGCCAATCACAAACCCGGAAGATGGTGGAGGAATAGTAAGCACGATGATCACTAAAAATATTAAAGAATTAAACATTCATCATTTTATTATATATATATATTTTTTTTTAAAAAAAAATTAAAATTTTTTTTTATAAAGAATGGAAGTGGAAGTAGAATCAAGTGTATCAACTGCAGTAGATTGATGAGCCTGTGGATGAGAGCCACGTCCTTTAGACTAACCTGACCGACCTCCTCTAGAACCACACTGATCACCTCGACCCTCGGATGGAGTCCTATGAAGCTTCCAACACACCTCACGAGTATGCCGCGACTTGCGGCAGTAATCACAGAATACAGACTCCTTGGCGGTAGACAAAGGGATGGGAGTCAGGCTGAGGCCATCTCTAGGGGTAGACAGTAACGCGGAGCGGTCAGTAGAGACAGGTGACATCATAGCAGACCGGTGACTCTCCTCATTCTGTATATAGGCGAATGCCTCATGAAGTAAAGGAAAAGTGTCCATACCCAGAACCCGATTTCGAACCGGATTATACTCCATATGGACACCTGCCAGAAACTTGAAGATAATTTCTTGTGCAATGAACTTCCTGTACTCGACTGAATCAGCAATGCAAACAGGCTTATAGTCCTGCATGTGATCAAGGTGTTTCCAGCTGTTAGTGAGGAAGGTGAAGTATTGAAGAATAGTCTGCTCCCCCTGAACAGAGCTCTTAATAGAGCGGCACAACTCAAATGCCTGTGAGAAATTTCTTTTGCGAGAATAAGTAGTAGCCACTGCCTCTCAAATATCCTGTGCAGTATCCATAGATAGATAGTCCTCTCCAATCTCTGGGACCATAGAATGTATCAACCAACCCATAATTAGGGAGTTGGTGATCTCCCATTGATCATAACTGGTCCGTGGTGCTGGGTGCCTTTATCCTATCATCAATATACCCCATCTTCCTTTTGCTCTTCAAAAAGATAGTCAAACTTTGCGACCATGCTAGATAGTTTTGACCATTGAATAGAGAGGTGGTGATTTTAAGATTAGGATTGGGGTTGTCAGTCATAGGTATAATGGAACACTCACTTTTAGGTGTCTGAGAAGTAGTGGACACACTGGTGGAATCTGCCATGGATACTATACTACCTAACCCTCAACAAAACTAGTGCCAATCACAAACCCGGAAGATGGTGGAGGAATAGTAAGCACGATGATCACTAAAAATATTAAAGAATTAAACATTCATCATTTTATTATATATATATATATATATATATATTTTTTTTTTAAAAAAATTTTAAATTTTTTTTTTATAAAGAATAGAAGAAACAGAGGTCAATACCTCATCACACAGTCAACGACAACATCAGAAGTTCAAACAAATAGGGAGATGACATAGCAGAGGGAGACAACATAGCAGAGGATGTCGAAGGAAGCCAGAGAATGCCTTGGGGCTGTCGGCTAGATCCGAGAGACTGCCAGTGGCAGTCGGCAAGGCAAGACGAGCCTGCCCCAGTGGTTGACTTAGGCCAGAAGGCTTGTCGGTAGGGACCAACAAGAGACTGGGGCACCTGCGACAGTGATCGAAGGGGCTAGGGCTGCCTTCGGCAGGTCCAGCAGTTAATGTCTAGGCCAAAAAGCCCTACGGCAGTAGCCGACTGGGCTACGAAGGTGTTTTCCCTGTCAAACCTGGATGGGAGCTTTGTGGTGGCTGTGTGGTGTATGGATTTAGGGTTGTGGCTTTGGTACCATGATAATTTTAGAGAATATAAAGATTAGGGAACGATTGTGATATCATCCCCTTTTTATATTAATAAAGATTAATAATTATAAGGGAGCCCTGACGAATAGAATAATTATAATTGAATAATAATCCAACTAATAATTTACTATTCTAACAGTAATTTATCCATTGGATCTATAGGTAGCATCTTTTATTCGTAGATGTTATCAAGACTAGTTGTTTGCATGCAGGGGTTACACCCCCTCATAGTATGTATCTTGGCCATATGATCTAGAGTTGGATTTCTTATCTACTACTTTTTAACGGACATTTTAGTAGAGTGGGATTTGGTAGAATGGAAAAAGATGCTATTTGAGAGGGAGGGAGGGAGGGATTATTATCTAATCATGACACCTATTGTATATCATTGTACGAATATGCATATCATATAGTATCTGTATCACAAGGTAGGTTGATATGTTGAGAATTGACATTTACAGACCAATTTAAAAAGAATAGGCATGCTGGTGTAAAACATAAATATTACAAGGATGAAGTATTGAGTAATATGTTACCAATGATACAATAAAAATTATGTCTCAAAAAGGTAAAAACATGCATTCATTAATAATCTAAGTACCCAACACAAGAAATGTGAATAAATATATGATGTAGATGGTTATATTTATTTTGTATTCTTTTAGGTGTGTGTGTGTGTGTGTGCGTGTCCTAAATTTGCAATGTATTTAAGTCTTGAGTCTAACCTTAGAAAAAAAAAAAAAAATTAGGTTGCGTTTAAAAGTTTGTCTTACATGCAGATCATATAAGCTCCTCCTTTTTCTCTTTCTTTGTTTAATTTCCCTGCAGGCCTTTTGTGATGCTTTGATGGTTGAAATGGTGTCTGATGATGATGATTTCTTTATAATGGGTGGTAATTCTATCTCAGTGGCGCACGTCTCTTATAATTTAGGAATTGATATGGGGTTGCTTTATGTCTTTCCAAGTCCATTGAAGCTTCAAATGGCACTTCTAGAAAAAGAAAGTTTGTGCAATACTAATGAAAGAACAGCTGTTAATGAAGCGCAAGAGGAGAGGATGCTTATTTCCCTTGATTCTAAGATGCCTAATCTTCAATCCTCTAAGCCATGTGGAAGGTTTTCGAGGACCCTCAGCAACAAGAGTGATGATTATCCTTCTAAATTCCAGAAGGTGCATTTAAATTTCTGTGGAAATTCAAAGGGAAATAGTTTTGTAGATGGCTATCCATGGAATTCAAATTCAATACGTGTGCCATGTTCATGTAGCCGTTGCAATAGAGTAATTTATGATGGTGCATACGAGGGGAATAATTTATGGCAAGCAACCTTGTCAGTGGAAATTCCGAGAAATAAAAGAGGTGCTATGCAAGAATTATGGAAAGTCCACATGGAATCTTGTGTTGATGCATCACCACTTCTTGTATTTAAAGAACAAGATTTTTTTCTTTTTATTGGATCTCACTCATACAAATTTCTTTGTATCAATGCCAAAAGGTAATTCCTGATTTTATATGTTTCGACTCACAAAATCATTATACCAGTGTTTTGTTGGAAGATTTATAAAACATTTATTTTTGTGACCATGCTACATGATCATTATCCTTGTGATTTTTAAATTGTTATTTTTAGTAGTTGTTGGTATGCACAATATACCAATGTTTTCATACTGTTGGTGACAGATGTGTTGATTTATTTGTCATTTTCATAGTAAAGATTTCCATCAATGTAGAAAACTGTTTGCTTTTCTTTTCTTACAGAACCTTAATCTTCTGGAATCAAGTTTATGATGATTTTTTTGTTAATGAAAGGTAGAAGCACAATTTTTTGTTTTTGATTATTCATAAGCTGCAAATGCCTTGAATTTTTCATTCTTTGAATGACAGACCTTAATTGAACATGTAGCGTTGGTCTTTGAGCCCAGCCTACTAATTTCTGTGGTTTACTTTCCTTGTTATTGTAGGGTATTGGTATCTTTAAAAACCACTAATACATTAGACTTCACTATTAACATTGGTATACTGGCCAATTGAAGAAGGCGTTTGATCCGATCCGTGGCAACAGCCTAGCACTGTTTTTGGTTCTTTGAGGTTTAACTGAAGCTTTGGAGGACAAGAAAAAATGATTTGGGAGACTGAGGACAATAAGATATAGTATCTGCAAGGACACTGAATTCTTGACAGCGTTCTGAGTAGTGTTAGATCTTAGAGAATTCAATGGTAGGAATTAATAATATTAGGTATTGCTTGGAGAATTCAGTGGTTGGAACAAATTATATTAGGTAAAGGTTAGGAATAATGCTCTAGTTGAAGATGATGGAGAGCATTAGATAATATCTGGGGTTAATATGCCTGAATTTAGCTTTGAATAGAGCAACTGCTGTATTTATTTATTTATTTATTTTTTGGGGCAATTGCTTTCTACAGAACTACCACCACACTTTGTAGCTGACGTCAATGGTGGCCCACTCTATTGACACTGACCTGGTGATAGTCCTTTTCCTTCTAGCGGCTTCACTCAACTATCAGTATTCGACACCTTTTTAGATGTCTTAATTCAGCCTATAGGTCACCCCTCCACGGCTCGAACCGCAAAGTTGAACCCATTCAATCCCATGCTTGCATAGGTGCGTCTGATCCTATACTCGACATGGTGGCTGCCTCTGATACCGGATGATACAAATCCCTTGGGTAGAACTCACCCTTGAAAATCAGCTTAGAAGGGGAGGCTGCCCAAGAGGCTTATATGCAAATCGCCAAGGCCTATGTTAACTAATGTGGGATTATAACAGATTGGATTTATAACATTTAGAATTTTGTAAGATTGTTCACAACCACTGCTCTCCCGCTCGCTTCAGAAATTATTTTCCTTGGATGAGAAAAGTGCTTAAATAGAGAAATTTTAACCATAGTGTTAGTAAACTTGTTATAAGCAACAACTTCGTATGTACTTTAAGCTTGTGCTAATCAAATTTTAGTCAAAACAAATAAAGAGAAATAAGTTAAATATGTCTTTGGGTACTTTGCATCTGCTTTCCTATGCTGCATGTGCTTAGCTGTTCTAATTTGTTTGGAATGTGAGAGACACAAAAGGTTGTGTTATGCCCCAGTATATGCTTGCATATGATCCTAGATATTGAGTTGTTTATGTAATTGCGATGACATTATACTTGTCTATTTTAAATCACCTGATTTTTGTAATGCATAAATAGTGACATATCCCCTTTTGTTCTGTATTATTGTTTTCCAAAATGCTTTTTAGCCAGATAGGGTGAGTCAGTCATTTCTGTCAAATTGCGAATCGAATCATAAATTGTATTGTTAAAATATAAATTGTGAATCATAAGATTCACTTTATTTAATATAATATATAATTTAGGGTAAGTTACTCTTTTCACCCTCAAACCTTAACATCATTTATGTCCCTCACCTTCTAATTGTAACAATTAAGTTCTTAAACTTCAATTTGTATTTCAATTTGGTTCTCCCATTACCACACCATTTAAAACTTGAGTTAAATTTGAAACATGAGGGACTTAAATGGAATTCAAGTGAAAGTTGAAGGATGAAAAATGTTATTTGTCATAATTTTATACCCTCTAATACCCCTAAAACAAGCTCACATGGCCCACGTTAGCACTTTCCGTCCAAATTTTTAATGGTGAGTAACGGGAGGACCACATTGAAACACAATTTGATGTATGAGGACTTAATGTTGCAATTAGAAGATGAAGGACCAATGTGAAATTAGGGTAGAAGTTGGAAGGCGAAAAGTGTAATTTACCATATACATATAAAAATACACACAAAGTATTTAAATGAAATAAATATCAATAACACTAAATGTATTTATGTATATACATATAAAACCACACATATTCATATAATTAATTGATTTTTTTTTTTTTTTTAGTTTTTATGTATATATTTTTTGATAGATAGGAAAAAACAATGTTCTTGCATGTATTAGGCAAATGAAAAAAAGAAAAGAAAAGAAAAGTAGAGAATTGAATCGTGGTGAATCACACTGAATTGCAAATCAAATAGTACGATTCAATCAATTTCCGTTTCAAAAGCACGATTCTAATCGTTTTGGTTAAAACGTGTCTTGAATTGTAAGAATACACTTCCAGATGTACTGCTCTGCTGGTGTCATATGTTTACACGCACAGCTCTTTAGCATCTTCTTGATGCTCTTTCTTTAATAAATTTTATTTATCAAAAAATATATATATGTTTACATGCACAGCATGAGAAATATATGATGTTTATTTGTAAGGATTATCAGCTGCTGATTGAAGTGCTAATTATCACATGCATTGGTTTAGTGGTTTTGTCCAATGGGAGATCAAATTAGGAGGACGGATAGAATGTTCGGCTGCAATCCTTGGTAATTTTTCTCAGGTTGTCCTCATTTTGATGTTTATGCTATATCCTTTGATCTCATTTGAAAATATGCTGCAAAAGAGTTTGTTAGATTTTAATATGGAATGTCTTTTTAGGTTGTCGTTGGATGTTACCAAGGGAAGATTTACTTTCTTGATTTTTCTAATGGCAACATCTGTTGGAGTTTCCAAACGTGTGGTGAGGTATCATATTCTATAGAATTTTCAGTTCTTTTTTCTTGTACTATTGCTGATTTTATCTTGATGTTGGAATTTTATCAAGAAAGAGGTTAACTAGTTTACTTTTTTGGCTTTGGTGCATGTATGGTATTTGAATTGGTATTCAGTCAACAGTATGATAGTTTTTTTTTAATATGTTGAGGAGAACTTGCAAACTGCACGTGTATGATTCTATTTGTCTAGGAAAAGTTGCTGTTAACTATTGATGAATGTTTGAATTTTCATGTTCTGCCTTGACAAGTTTGCTTGTCATCCATTTATAATATATATTGAGAGGGGAGTGAGAAATCCTGGGCAAAGAAATGTTACCTCTTCCACAAGTACCTTTTCTGTTCTGAAATCGTAGAGCTTTAATGGCAGCAGAAGAATCTGTAAATGAATATTCCACTAACAGCCACTCCCGTCCCTCAAAAAGAATAAATAAATAAAATCTAAACTAGGTTAAATTGTATTTGCATTTGTGTTTTTTTAGTTCTTTGTGATAATAACTTTCGTTCTGTTTATACTGCCTATGATTCCTCCTCTCCTGTCTTCTGTGCTCTCTGTCTCTGTTAAGTTTGCGTTGACTTGACCAATATTAGTCATAATTACTAATCACTTCTTCAGTGTGTACATGTAACATATCGATTGATTAAGAAAATATGCTGTCTGATTTTCATAGCATCTGATTTATTACAATGTACTGAAATGACTTGGAGATCAACTAGCATACTTGTATTAACTATTGACTTCAACTTGTGGGGTGCTGTTACAATTTCAATATCTTTTATAATAGACATGTAGAAAATATAGTCTCTCATTTTTAATGTCTTAATCCAGAGGAAATGATTAATTGTTAGCATGATTAAAATTTCTCACTAATAATGATTTTGGTGATCTTGTGGTTGATTTAATTGTTTGACAAACTTAAGTACAAATTTAAAGCGGTTTGGGATTAAAATTTCTACCGAGAAGTGATTTTGGTGATCTTGTGGTTGATTTAATTGATTCTCTAACTCATGTGCATTTAGCGGACCATCTTTGCACTAGAGAGGCTATTTTGATGGTGCAGAGATTAATAAAACAACTAATGCAATTAACTGTTGGTACCTGCCTAGTGCATGCAACATGGATAATGAAAACAAATTGTTGACTGTAATTATAACTTTTAATCCTGTTCGATTTTTGACACATTTTGTTCCATCTTCACAGTTCCTTGTATTAGTTTAGAAACAGGTTAACTTGTTTTGCAGTTTCCTAGATGCTAATCAAATTTTGACTTTCGAAGGTAAAGTCACAGCCCGTGGTGGACAAATGCAGGCACTTGGTCTGGTAATGATCTTGTTGCTTTTTGTTTTCGTTTATTTATTTATTTTTTGTTTTGTTCTTTGGGTCAGAATAAAGACTCAGGATCCTCTAGAGTAATTTTTCTTAGAGTGATAAGGTTAGGCTTTGAGAGTTGGAAGGTGAAATGATTATTGTAACGTCAACTTTGGTAGAATTAAATCTCAGTCATCCAAAAAATCACTCTCTCACTCTCAGAAAAATCACTCCAGAGGATCCTCGCTCCAGAATAAATACCATTACGTATAATGATGAATTGGTTGCACTTCAAGTGAAGTCTATTCCCTTCTCAGTTTAAAGTGGTTGATATTCTCATATTTATGAAAAAAAAAAACAATGGTAGATATTCTCATTCATTTGTAGAGCTATATATTAAATCTTGGTAACATCTGAATTCAATGACATAGGCATGTGGCCTTGGTTTGCTAATACTTGCCTAAGATATGGAGTTCCTGATGCAGGACAACTAGGGGACAACAGCAAATCTAGGCTTTTGGGTCTGATTTTAATTGTATTTTATGGCTGCAATTGCAATAAGAATATAGGGGACAAGTAGGGTTTGTTTAGTGTAATAAATAGGTAAGAGTTAAGCATGAAAAGACAAGGTTTTAGCACTGTTTAGGGGCTGTTACAAGGCTGTGAATGTAACTCGTGAATAGTAAACTAAAACAGAATAGAAGAAGAAAGGAAAAAAAGAAGATAGATTTAAGAATCACTCCTAGCATCACACCTAGGATTTGATTGCATCACGCAACTCACAAAAAAGCTTCAAAGCTCTCAACTTTTTATAAATATCAACTCTATTAAATTATAAGCATTACATTTTATATAGGACTAGGAGATTTCCTAAACCAACTAGAACTAAAATAGGAAACTATCAAAATATCGTTGACTTCTAAAACTAATTTAAAACTAAATAAGAAATAAAAACGAAGATTAATTAAATAACTTAACTCACAAGATGACCCATGGGCGAATCCTATAGCCCATGTCGGCAAATATAAAATTACCAAAATAGCCCTCACCTAAAAATCCTAGAAACATAAAAATAATCATAAAATAAAACTATAATAATATTAGAAACATGATTATGTATGGTTTCTATCGATTTCTCTTTGAAACCATTCAAATTTCCAAATATCGCCGTTTCTTTGAATTAATTGGTCCTTGAGCTTCTTATATTCCGCATCATTCTCCCTTTGTTGGAGAAAACTCGACCACAAGTTTCAAAGTGTTGAAGTATAAGCTTCCACAAGCTTCGGAATTGCGTCTACGGCTTCATGTTAAAATCTTTTAAGTTGTCGCCGCCTTTTCTTTGTTGGAGATAGGAACAAAAATATTGAGAAATTGATCTTGTCCTTCATGATACTAAATGTGTTAGGAATGTCAAAATCAATCAAAGAAGTTAAACATCCTTGAATTGATCCAAATCTTGGGCTGCAAAATTTATTCCGTGCAATCTGGTCTCATTTGGCTCTACAATGCGGTGTTTGTAATCAATTTGAATACTTCCACCTGCATCATTAATTGTGGATTCCAAACTTTCATCCTTTTTTTCAACTAATGTTTCATTATGTAGTTCAACATTACCATCCCTTTGGAAAATATTAGATTCTGTTATAGAGAATTGAGGAAGCAAATTGTTGGCCTATAAAGCCGTATTAGGATCAGTGTCAACAACTGGTTCATGTAATTCTTTAGACCCTACAACTTGTGTGACATCCGAGTCTTCTATTTGGACCTCATTCTCTTCATGAATAATAATTAGATCTTCTTGGGGTGCTTTTGAATCATCAATAAGATTGGTTTTTCCCCTTACAATCTGTAAAATATTTTAGAGAAGAGAAAGTGATCGGGATTGAGACCTCATCCCCTTTTATATTAAGAATAAAGCATAATTACAGGAGTGCCATAAGACATGAATTATGAGCCAGCTCATTACAACCCATTACATTAATTAAGGAATGGAAACAAATTAGAATAAAATATGAAAATATAATTTCCTATTCTAACACTCCCCCTCAAGCTGGTACGAAGATATTTCTCATACCCAGCTTGTTGAGAATATCATGAAACAGTTTGCTCCCTATTCCTTTGGTGAGAACATCTGCTAGTTGGTCCGCAGTCTTCACAAATGGAGGACATATGGTGCCACTAGTGAGCTTTTCCTTGATGAAGTGCCTATCAATCTCCACATGCTTGGTTCTGTCATGTTGAACTGGATTATGAGCTATGTTGATCGCTGCTTTGTTGTCACAGTACAATCTCATGGAATCGGTCTGATGGATCCCCAAGTCTCTCAACAATAGTCTAATCCATAGCAGTTCACATACACCCTGAGTCATTGCCTTGAATTTTGCCTCGACACTAGATCTAGCAACCACATTCTATTTCTTACTTCGTCATGTGACTAGGTTGCCTCCAACAAATGTGCAATATCCATAAGTTGATCGCCTATCAGTGATTGATCCAGAAGTTGCTCGAGACATGTCACCTTGAGTGGTATTATGAATATAACGCCTTAATTCATAAATATGTGCTATATTTCACAAAACTGCTGTGGCGGCACCCTAGAAGCCTTCTCTTCTATCATCTAGTCGACACCCTATAAAACAGTCCAAGAGAGATGTTGGTGATTGTTGGAAGAAAACTAGTGAAAAATTAGGGTTCTCTCTATTGTATCTATTATTTTTACTTAATCCAATAATATTACAAAAATACCCTTCATCACGTAAAAACAATAAAATGGAAGAACATTCCAACAAGATAATGTCTGCCCATTTGGCCTACCAATTCGCGAAGGTTGGCTGACTAAAGTGAAGTCCCAAAAATAGGTTTGTTGTACCCATGCCACAAGTTGGCCAACTAATATGAAACAATGGTTGACTAGTTGGTAGTTGAAAGTCTTGAGACCTTGGTCGACCAACTGGAAATGTTTTGTCAACCAATTGGACTTATATTTGAACAAGCTAGTCGTTTATAACTGTTGAAGGATTTAACGATTTATATCCACTCACCCCATTGTGGGGTTTCTTGATGAGAATTGGCTTCTTGAGTCTTTAACAACCTCATATATTCTCTAATTTACCTTCTAAAGAGTTTAACCACCTTGTGTGAGTGGGAGAATCCATCAATCCTTCAACGCATGTCTTCCAAGAACTTTCTCCATGTGAAGTTTTGAATTTCTTTGCTTGTGGAAGGTAATTTCTCATCCTAGTGTAATCTTAACACACTATTTCAATCACGCAACTATATTTTGGTCTCGTTTAGCGAAACCCTTGAAGCTCTAGGTGAGTGTGTCAAGTTTAAGTGTTAGGGTTTTGTGATTTGGAGTTTATTGGTTGTAGCTAAGCCAAGAAAACCTACTTATTTTTGTTTATATGTGGAAGATGTTTTGGAGGTAGTTTATTGAAAACCTACTAGTGTAAAAGTTGGGAGCGAACCTTATATGCTGAATGAATGAGATGAATGTATGTTGCTGAGTCATCATTGACTTGTGTATTTACATGTGATTACTTTGATTATATCTCACCAAATTGCACAAAATCAAAGTGATATATCTTGAACAATCAACCATCAAGACTATTAGTTAATCACTTGAGTCAGGATTCAATAATTGATAATAAATTGCTCTTGAGACAAGTAGCACTTATTTAGGATTGAGGAATAGTGAAAGAAAAGGCTGGAAAAATGGCCAAACAGGCTCAACACACAAAACTTTTCACACTTTACCTCTCAAAAGACACAACAAAGTCCAAAAATTGCTCAAGGTTAGGACCCTCCCTCGCCGGAATCAACTATACAAAATGGCCAAAAAGAACTTTTAAACCAGTTTCTCTACACCCTAAAAGACCTATAATCCACTCTAAATACAATAGAACCAAATGCCAAGCTTTCCTCCTACAGTGCTCCCACCCTCTCCCTTGATGCAGAATGGACATTGTCAGAAACTTTCTTTTTCCTATATAAATTCTGATTATTGACAATCAATATTATGGGTAAACAATGAATTCACATTATGTTTGTATTCGAGATTGGATAGCAAGATGCATCTAAGCGACACATTATGCTATATTTTCTTTCTCCCTATGACATTTATTTGTAGTTTGATTAACTTACCATTGGTAAAGCCAAGCATTGTGAATCATTGATTTTCATAGTACTATAGTTTCTTTTAATTGGGTAGTAGTATATTTTTATGTTGCTATATGGCATTTCAGGATCTGGACTACTCTTTTAACATGTCTTCCAACAAAATATTTGCAGGTGTGGGTCGCATGACCATAATCTTTATGCTCTTGATTATAAAAATTACTGCTGCGTTTATAAGATTCCATGTGGTGGCAGTATCTATGGGTCACCTGTAATTGACGAGGTCTGTCTTGGCAAACCATCATCGATAGATTTTCTTATTTATCCTTTTCCCCTCATGCAAATCATTTGGCAAAGTTAGCTATGGATTTAGCTTAACAAACATCAGTTTTTCTTTTGAATTATGTTGAATGTCTATAGTCTGACTCTTTCCTCTCTCTACATAAATATAGCGTGGCACATCATTCTCTGTAACATTGTATGCAGTTTGGCCCATCTTCATACTTTGGACCCATCTCCGGCATACAGTATCATAATTCTTGTTTTTGCTTTTGACTCTGATTTTGTGGAACGTTTCTTTTCTTTTTGTTTTAAGGAGATGAAGTTGCAGTGATAGAGACATGGTGCTCCATAAATTGGCATCAGCTTTGCAACTTCTGCATTTGTCTGTCCACGTCAAGTTGGCTTCAAGTGTCAGTTCCTGGATAATGCCCCACCTTAAAAACTTGGATACATTATTTGTTGTAAAACATGCCACTCTATTGCCAACATAAAGCTAACAAGTTTTGGAAGACGATGGGTAATGTGGAATTTTCCAAGTTGGATGTAGCAAATATAGATTGTTCTAGAAATTAATTGAAATAGGAACTTAAACAGTACAAACAAATTACTATCAAATTTCAAATTGGGCAACAAAGCCATGTATATTTGGAAATTTTGAGGAGCCACAAAACTAATCGTTAGATTAGCTACTTAAATTTTCATTATTTCTACGACTTTCAGAATGATAATCTGGTATGCTGTTCAGTGGAAAAGTCATGGATGCAACTTTTAGAAATACTTGTTTACTAAATTACTACAAATTGTTACTTTAGATCCAATACATTAAGTATTCAAAAAAGAAAAAAGGAGATACTGAAATTTGTTCTCTATGTACTATTGACAACAATGATGAAGATTGTTGGCCAAGCGTAGATGGGGAAAATGACATGAAGGAGACACTTGAATAATAACTGTATAATAAAGGAAACATAGCTGTTTGCTTTTTGAGTTTGTCTTAAATCTTAATCAAAGGAGCATCAATGTATTAATAAAGGAAATGATGTGCCAGTCATTTAGCCAAATCCACCCTAGTTAGATTGGATGGTAGTGAGCAAAAACACAAGTTACTGTGTGAGCAACGTGGGAATATATGAACTTTATCGGATCTGTTTCGGCACAAATGTTTACATTGTCCTTTTTAGCAACTGTGATCATAAACATAAGTAGCTGTTTGTCTATTTTCTTGAAGAAATGATGATAAAATTTACCAATTTACCACCACGAGGAATGCCAAATACCACAATAACAGTGATAGTCAAAAGCTTGTATGGCAATGGGGCTTTAAGGGCTCAACTTCTGCCTATAATTAGCTTACTGCTCCAAGAATTGCCTACAAATTATTGAATGCTACTAGGGTTGTAGTACTTGCAGACTTTCATCAAATGTCACAAAGGAATGATCCACTCAAGAAGTACGTATGCCAACTAGCTTTACATGCACCAAAAAGTTCGCTCCAGAAATTTCGGCAGACAAGTTTCATTGACCTCATCAAATACCTGTAATTGTGCTACTCCAAGGAACACATGACACTAATAGAACACTACTTGAAATCACCAAGCAACTAAGAAAGTCATATGAAAAGAGAAGTTAAGGTAGAATTTTATATACGCATTACCTTTAATCCGAGCAGCAGCAAATGGAAAGTAGTACTCAAATTGTGTTTCAAACAAGAAAACAGCTACCATTTCAGTTAAGTGCCAAGTAAATAATAGAATATACACAGAGGGTGCAGAAACTGTCCACTGGTTAATTTACATGTAGTAGAAAACCTTATTGGCCTCCTGAAAGATTTGCAGTGCTGCAAAATGCATTCAGTTATTCCAGATTTTAGTTTTTGATTGGCTAATAAATTCTGATTATTGACAATCATTTCGCCAAGGAGATCCTGCTGCTACATTACACCATGTAGCTGTATGCCTATACATAGTTATAATAACTTTTTTCTGCTGAAGACTTTTTCCTTTTCTTATTTCTTTTAGTTGGAGTGCATGCGATACACATACTTTAGTCTACTGTGTAATTATCTATTTATTATGAGCTATGATCAGTATTTTGTGTCACTTTGATCTAATGGTCTCTGATTGTTCAGAACAATGTTTTAAATATTTTTGAAAAGGCATCTAACTTGTGTAACTTTGGCTGACAAAAACTTTTTCCCAGTCTTTGAAAAATGGAAATTTCAAGGGTTTTAGTAAAATTATACATGTTGAAGCTATTACGTTGGAGATAATATGTTGGGAGGATACCTCTGCAGTATACTTTTTGTTACACAGCGAATTGGCAATAGTTACATCTACTTTCTGTCTGAATTGATAATTGTAGAAATTTAATGTATAAAGAGAAATAGAGAATTGTATTATTGATTGATATAATGTTATTGATATCTATTACAATGATTCATGATTCCTATATATAGAAGAGGGTGAGTGTGTAGTAGGTAAGGAGTAGACTAGTAGAAGTTCAATAGTTGCTTGCATTTTGATTTAGACCCATACAGTACATGGCAGTTGACTTTGACCTTTTCCTTTCACCTTATTTCTCAGCATGTTCCAATTGACAAGCTGTATTGGTTTGTTATCTGTATCTGAGCATTTTGTCATATAGCTTGCATTATAAATTGCTGACATTAGTTTCAAAATTTATGGTGAGACCTCCTTTACTCAATATATAGCCTCCCAATCAAGCAGCATTTTACATACCATTAGCAGGTAGGGGCCACTTTGGAAAAGTACATGTATCCACTGCATTGTGTTTCTTGTGCATATATTTACACATTATTCCTGGCATGATATATGCATCCTTGCATTGATTTGTTATGTATATGCTTGCACATTATCCTTGACATGATCTTGTAGATTCATTGACAATTAGATAATTCTTTAGCTTTTTCTCCCCTTCTGATCATTGAATGGTAGAATGATACACATGAATGCACCATTATTTTCTCCATAACTTGTATTTAATGATATTTATTTATGTGGATCATTGTCTCTTGCCAAAGAGAATAATCAATAAATAATTGCTTTTGCATTTTTAGTTGTTTATAACTGATTACTTTCAATGTAGGTTCACAATACACTTTATGTGGCATCTACTGGTGGCCGTGTTACAGCAATATCCATAGAGGTGCGAATCTTCTTTTAAGAAAAATGGTTATATCAAATTTTTGGATCATTGTATAGCATAAATATCAGTATTACGTAGAGTGGAAAATGTACTCCTTACTTGAGACCTTCAAATGTTGATGGGGGAAAAGATAATAGGTATTTACTAGACCACAGCTGTGTAGATGTTCTTTTCATATTTTCAAGTTGCTTGCTCGTTTCCCACCAGCAGAAGTTTAAAGTCGGACATCAAAATTTACATCGCAAGTTCAATACTTCAGAACTTTGCCCTTGTGGTTTGGACACCAAGGGTTTTCATTGACCTCAATGAAATTGCCTTGTGGTTATGAAAATGATCTCACTAAAATGAGTACAATATTTTATGTTTACAATTTATGTCGCTAAAGGAGGAACTCATTTGTATATAACTTAACCACAATTGGGTAAAGTAATCACATATATTGGACAACCCTTGCTCTTTTTTTGTCCCCTTTTTTTCTCTAGATACCTTTTGGTTTGTGTTACATGAAAGAGTACTGGAGAAAGCAGTTTTTAACGAGAGAAAAGTGTTGCATCTTTGCAATGGTTGCAATTGAGAATCTAATACACTATGTTTGACAAAATTGCACCCAAAATTTTTCTAAATGACAAAAGGACTCCGGACTCATATTTTGTAATATGTTGATCAATTTTCTCTCACTACTTAATTCAGGATTTGCCATAATTAGCAAAATTTGCATGTTATTGTGACATCAAATTTTGTGTAAAATAAAGAAGCAAATAAAATTTATTTACACCCAATTTTACAACCAAAATTACACTTTTATATGCATTCGGGTTTTTGACGTAGGCCAATATGAAATTAAATGCAATAGCCTTTGAGAGAAATTTGAAGATTTAGGGGTATATGGTACAAAATTTATTATTTGGGTTCATTTTGGGTTTTGGCATCTCCTTCCTTCAAGTGATTTCCTTTACTCATGATTTCCAGAGATCTATATTACATGGACTCTTCTAAATGTATGAAGTACTCATGTCGGATACTCGATACTTGGTTAAGGTTGTGGACTACATGTCCAACACATGTAGTTGGACATTCACCTATCAAATCTGTTTTCAGAATCTTATGCTTCACAATATGATTCATGATTCATGATTCATGCATAGATCATTATGAATCTATTGTGGGATAGAATCATTGGTGAATTGCTCGATTCAGCCTTCGATTTGTGCGATACTTGGAATTATCGTGATGTGATAAGATTGAGAATTGTAGGTGTGTTTTAGCTGTACATGAGCTAACCGTAAGTGTTATTTAGTTGAGTCTTCTAGCCTATAAATAAGTGGTTTAGGCTCCTAATAAGTACTTTTGTTAAATTTTATATCAAATTTTAGAGCTGGGTTCATGTAACCCTAGATTTGAAAACCATTTCTTGTAGTACTTTATGATACTTATCTTGCTGCCTGTATGGGAGTGGGGGTGTTGGGTGAATTACTAACAAAATTGTACTTTCATTTCCCTATTACATATCTTCCCTATCCCAGGCTTGTCATGCTCTGGACATCTGTTTATGTTTATTTGCTTTGTTATTTTCATCATTTCTTGTTAAGCCATGTTTTCTAAATGCAGTCTATGACATTCAGTAAACGATGGCTGCATGAGTTGGAAGCACCAGTTTTTGGGTCCCTTTCCATCAATTCCTACAATGGAAATGGTATTGCTTTTGTTCATTTTACTTTCTATCCTTACTATCATTCCTGATGATAGGTAATTCTGCCAGAGAACATTCTGAGTTCAGTTAAGATCTCTATGCAGCTAAGCTATAACCAAACCAAACTAACTAAACTAAGCCTTGTATCCACACTCAAGTGGGGCTGGTTGGCTAACAAATTTTTTTTTTTTTGCTTCTTTGTAGAATTTCCTGTTATTTTGCCTTTAGTTGTGGAGACCGCCTGCCAAATTGTAGTCCATATCAAATTTCTATAAAGTATTGGAATATCTATATTATGTTTTCTGGGAATTTTAGTTATGCGGGTAGTGCCTGCTCGTGTGAGTGTATGTGCACATGCATCAACATGCTTGCCTGTGTATCAAATGTCAATTTTGTTGCATCACTAGACTGTTTTTGGTTTTGTAGTCATTTGTTGCTTGGTGGATGGACATGTTGTGGCACTGGATTCTCATGGATCCATTATCTGGAAGGTACAAATACACCCTTCATATATATACATATATATTTGGATTTCCATACAATGACTTGTCTGGTTCCATTTATTCTTAGTAATTGGACATTTAATTTCTATTAGTTAAAAATGGTTAAGGAGGCCGATTTATTGTCACATTTTTTTTTTCCTTTTTTTTTTTTTTTTGGTGCACATTCAGAAGTGAAGTCAAATATACGTAATATTGGTAACAACTGTTTGGATTGGCCACTACCTCTACGAACTGCCTCTAATTAATGAGGTGCGAGCGTAATAAAGAGATCAAACAGAAGTCAATGCCAACCCTAAAGAGGGGGTTGATCATATTTATATTTAACCAACAAAACCATCAAATTATAAAATACACTTGCCAGCCTTACTACTGCTACATACTTCTACATATACAACTGATTGATAACATGTTAACTATCTCCTATTCTAACACTTACTCTCAAGTTGGAACATATATATCAGTTATGCCCATCTTCCTACATAGATCAAAAAAATGTTCTCCACTAAAAGCATTATTGAATATATCTCTTAAGTGAGCCCTAGAGCCGATAAAGGAGGTGATGATTTGCTTCTTTCTAAGAAGCATGGACACGAACACGACATAGATACACCAACACAACAATTTTCAAACAACGAGGGCATTATATGTTGGGGACACTCAGTATATATAGTTTTATATATTTATTATATGTTTTATTTTTGTATATGAATACATCATTCAAAGGCAACAAAAAAAATGCAACACTACACTAATTATGAAAAATCTACATTATTTCTCTTTATCATTGTAACCAAAGTTACTTTGTTCAATCTTATAATTAGTTTTGTGTTGTCTAAATGATGGACATGTGTTTCCCAAGTGTCCGAAGCATGTCTGGCTTTAAAAAAAATAATTTAAAAATAGGACATGTTTGAACGAGTGCCCAACCCGTGTTGGGAAGTGTCCAACACAGACGTGTCACCTTAAAATTGTTTGTGCTTCTCAGGCTTCTTCATTATCATATCTCATATAAAATGACACTCAAGTTCAAAGTGTTTATTCTTCTCATGATATTCTGACTTGTTTGTGATGAATTGTTGTTAACCACCATACTGATTAAACACTAAGCATGACACAGACAGAGTTATACCAAAGCATTATCTAATTTCAAAGCACTATCTAATTTCAAAATACATATTAAACAGCCATACTGATTCATAATGACACTCAATTTCAATATGTTTAGTTCTATCATGATATACTGAATTGTTGACCACCATATTGATTAAACACTAAGCACGACACAAGCGGAGTTATTCCAAAGAATTATCTAATTTCAAAATATGAATTCAATAGCCATATTGATTATTAACTTCTTTATGAAATAGTTGGAAAATAGAGTCAATCTCTGAATGTTCTTTTATTTAGAATGTCCAATTAATGCTTGAACAATCATCAAAAAAAGAGAAATCAGAAAAACCCAAAAGACTTGTATCTTGATGGATCCCAAACAT